GGCAGGGTGGCCCCGGGCAGCGCTTCCCTTCTCGCGTGTCTGTAAAAACCCTGGTGGGTTCCCAAGGGGGAAGGGGTGTCCGTGGAGGAGGCGGGGAGCGGGAGGGACGGGCGGGCACGCGTGTGCGGGGAGTGAGGGAGCACCCTGCAGCCGGGCTGCCCTCCCTCTGGTTGTAGCTCTGCCAGGTTTGAAAAGCGTCTTTTTTTTTTTTTTCCCATCATGAAAAAAGGATTCGTTCTGAGGTGTGGTGGCAGTCACCGGTAACCGGTTTTAGTGTTGAAACGGAAAAAAAAACCCCTTTTTTTTTCTTTCAACAATAAAAAAAGACTTATGAAATTTGCAGGCTTGCAAAACTCTTCCCAACTGAGAAACAGGATTCAATATTATCAGAAAGTGCCTGATAAATCAGCTACTCCAGGCTTGGGATCTCAAGAATACCTAAGAATCTGCTTGGAGCTCAAGCACTCCTGTGCTCTTACTGGCACCTAATTCTCCTGTTTATTTTTTTTTTCATTCTAAGTACTTAGTTTGATGATAGAGAGCCAAAAATAAAAAGCACCCACCTAGTTAGCTTTTACTTAGGGACCTACGCTAACTTTATATGCTTTCATTGATTTTTTGTTTGTCTTTATATGCTTTTCTACTTTAATATTTAAAAAGTTAAGCCTTACCCAGCAGGATGAAGGAGGGTCCATACCATCAATATAATTGTGCAGAACCTGAGCCATAACTTCTTGTCATCTTACATGTATCTCATTCCATAATTGACAAAATGTCACACTTTTATATACTTTTTTTTCTTATATTAAGTACAGTATTGCTTCAGAATAAAAAGTGTGTATCTTAAGAAGTGTATATATAAAAACTGTATATATGACATGGGTAGGTTCAAAATAGTTCAGACAGTTAAAATACAAAAATTAAAGGAGTATAGACAGCTTCTGAAATGGAATATCCTAAGGAACTGAGACAGGAAGCACAACATAACTTAAATCACTGCACCAATGACAGTCTATGGGATGGAATGGCCATGTGAATGAAGCTGGGTTTTTGCACTGTAGATCTTATGTAGTGGTGTAGATGTGCTTGAGGGCTGCGGTCTGTTTCATGATCCTGTACTTTGTCACATTTCCTCGTTTTTCCTTTTCTTACTGGTTTCTCTTTCAAATTTTAATTATATTTATTTCATTTTCTTATACAGTGCTAAGAAAGTAATTTCAAAGCTGGCACACTATGGCCTTTGAAAGGATAACACAAAAGGACTGGTACAAAATCCTGGGTGCAAAGCCATCGGACAGTCCAGCAGAACTAAAACGGAAGTACCAAAAACTTGCTTTGTTAGTAAGTATGTTTTTGTTGTTTAAGATCTGCAAAAATAAACTTTGTAAACCAGTGAGATAATAATTGCACAATTTGGTTTTACATTTTTTTGTATAAATATGATTAATCAGAGTGTGTTTGTAATACCAGTTCACTGAGCCTTGTTTGAGTTTGAAATAAACATCTGGAGTTTGAGTTACCATTATATTTTGCAAAGAGGGATTTCAAAACACTGATATGTCTCCCAGCTTTGCTAAACATTCACAAATGAACTGAGCCAAATGCTTGTTCATCAGGTGCTGGATATTCAGGTGCACAAGTCAAAGAAGGCCATTGCTTGTAGCACATAGTAATTAAATTTTCTAATTGATGCTTGTGTTATTTACTATAGTGCATCCAGTTACAGTGTGCTGAATGCAACCCTTGAATACATGAAGACCTGATGCAAAGAACAAAAAGTTCTTCTTGATAGTCTACAGTAATGGAATAGAAAATGTATAGAAGGAAAATATGTTAATATAATAATTATTGTTTTATTACTATAATTATTGTTTTATCTGGTGCATTTTTGTGGCAATATGTTTTTCATCATGCATTAAGACTTGATGTTCTGTGAATTCTTTTAATTTTTTCTATACTCCTGGTATAGGTGTACAAGAACCTCAGAGGTTTACCAGATTACTTCATATTATTCTTGGTTCTTCTGTTTTACGCCTTCCCCTGAATTCAGGCTTTTTGCTCACAACATGCTTTGGCTTGGCTTTCTGAGGAAAATGGAATGTGTTTTTTGTATACTGCTGACCGTTTTCAACCAAATTTGATAGACAAATAGAATTCCCAAGGCGACTAAATTCCTAAGTTTCTTGAAAACTGGCAGCTTGGCAGAGGAGGAGGAAGAAGTTGAGCAGAACTCAGTTTTTATATATTCTTTAGGTAGCTGCTAGCTAGACTGTCAGCTTTGGCTGGCCATTAGAGAGCATGTGCATGGCTGATCTTGGCTTGATTTGAGGTGTCAGAATGAATGTGAAAAGAAGTTGGGATTTTTAAGTGAGGTAAAGAGAATGCCAGTCAACAGGAGACTGAATTTTGTTATAGTTGAAATAAATCATGGCCTGAGTTTCGGGGTTTTTTCTTTGGTTGTTTTTTTATTTTTATTTTTTTATTTTATTTCTAGCCCCTGTGAAAACTGTTTTAAAGGTCATTTCACCAGTATGTTCCAAATTTATGCATTTTGATACTTTGTTTTGTTTTTTTAGATGAAACTGACCCTTTCTGTTATAGCACTGTACTTTCATGTAATTATTTGGAAGAGTAGGATGTGAGAATTGTTGGAGTTTACAACTGTTCGTTTACATCTATAACAAGCCTTTTTTTTTTGAACCTGTATGTTTACAAACTAATTGGTTAGTGCTCTTTATTTGAAACGTCTGTGAGAAATGTTAGAGAAAATAAAGATACTTTTTTTTTTTTTTTCCCCTTTTGCTATTTGGCTCAGAATTCTTTTGCTATCTGTGAGGGATCCCTGACTAAAAAGCCACACTGTTGTTTACTTGTAGGTGTTTTCTGCAAGGCAGATCTGCTGTTGTCTGGTGTTGTTACCGTATGTCCTGTCTCTATTCATCTTTTTCTTTTAGCGGAGCTGTTACAGACTCAACTTGTTTGTCCACTTACTAATACACCATCTAACACAGTCTGTAAAAGCATGGTGGTAATAAACCAATATTTTTATACACCTTAAAAACTCATTGGCTGTAGGAGTGACTGGAGACCAGGCTGCATACCTTTACTGAAAGGTGTTGATATAGAACATAGTTACAGTGTGAAAGTCATTGTCACAGATGATGCTGAGTCCATGGGCTTCCATGTTTGAAAAAGTTGATTAGAAGTTCACAGAAGGAAAGTCTGCCGTGGCATGTTAACACAAAAAATACCCTCTCTGATTCAGAAATCCATGAGCTATGGACTTCTGAATATTGGTGGAATATATAAGGGAGTTGTATGTTTATCCTGTCCTGATACTATTCCCTAGGCACCCACTGTTCATTGTTAGTAAAAAGCAGAGCACTGGCTGGACCTCTCCTCCTACTTGTGGTGCCCTATTCAGATGAAGTAACTCCCTTGCTCCCCAAGTAGTTTGTACTTGAAGCTCTTGGTAGCTTCACACCTCTGACTGACAAAGTGCTCATTTTGGTTTTCTACAGCCGTTGTTGGAGCTGGTGGTGGTAGCAGCATTGGTGAGGGCAGAGAACAGGTCTACATGCAGGTGTTCTTATGCACTGTGGTGGTCGTTATTGGAGTAACTCCAGTGTGGAAACTGGACTAGTAGATGAGCACAGCACAACAAACCTATTGCCTATTAAAGGATTTAATGACAAATTATATGGTCAGTACAGAAAGTTCTCTGGCTTGTGTGTACAGCAGAAGTTAGTCTCCTGAACAATTGTACCACGCTAATTACCTTAAAATCCAAAAGTTTATAAAGCAACTTGCTTCTTGGATACTGATTGCGATTAATATCACATTGATTCTGTAATCCTGAATATCCTTATCACAGAAGTTTATTGGCATCAAGCATAATAGATGGTGGAATTTATTTTTAAAAATAATTCTGCTGTTAGAGTAAAAATGGCAAATGTCTGAGTCCAAGCCTTCTTCAGATGATCCCCAGTGCTTCATGTTGAGCATTTGCTTTTTGCCATCTGCTATTTTCTATTTGTCAACACATGTATGCTTAGCATCTTGAATGAACAGGCAGATGTAAATTTCCAAAGCTAAAAAGAGTTGGAGATCTTGCCATATGTCATCCAAAAGATAACTGTGTTTCTAGTTAGATCTCAGGACTGACCTTGATAATACAAAGTACTGTGCAATTAAAAATGAATTGTAAGTTTGTAAGAATTATTTCATAAGGGCAAATGAGCTTAAAACTGATTAATTTTTACAATATAACTTGTTTTTGTATATTCTAACAAACTGATAATGGAAAACATTTAATAACACATAACAAATAAACCTGTGCATTTGTACTCTGCTAGAGGGAATATATTTGCTTACTGTTTTGCCTTATTTTGCTTTGCTATACTTGCTTTTTTCATTTGGTCAGGTCACATGTTTAAGTGAATTATTTTACTACAGATGTCAATTATGTCATTAAGAATAGCATTAATTTGATACAGAAAATATCACAGGCCTAAAAGTAGTGATTTTTTTTAATCAGTATTTTTTTGTCTCACCTTGTGACAATCATTAGCAGCCACAAATGACAGATTTTTGGGCACTAGATGTGTGTGACACTGGCAGTTTTATAAATAGCTTATTTTTAAAACAAAATCAAACTTTTGTGTATGCTGGCTCATACTCCAGTGTCTTCTCTAGCACAGAGTTTCATCCAATATTTCTGAAAGAAATATTTCGTAAATGAACGGGTTTTATGCTCTATACTTAGTTTTTCAAGGAATCCATACAGCTTCTAGGAAGGACAGTGCTTAAGTTCCATTTCTGGATGTATATAAAATTAACAGAGGGTGAAATTAAAGTAACAAAAATAGGATATTGTGGGAAAAAATGATACCATCTTATTACTGGCACAATTTTTACATCTCCTTTTAGTCTAGCACTTTGTGGTCAAAGAATGAGTTGCCAGATTGTTTTCAAATTTTAGTGTGGCTACTGTCCATCTGAAAGCTGCTTTTTACAGGGAATAAAGTCACCAAAGCTTTGTCTAGCTGAAAATCAGGTGTCTGTTCCTGTTGATACTGCTGATATTACAGGATACCTTTCAACTGGAAAAAAAAATGATTGTGCAGGAAAATTATATGCTGCTGTTACAATGTATGCCCTAATCTTAAAGAAAATCCATGTAATTTGAGCAGGGAGTGTGCAGGAAGCTCTTATTTTTAATATGGTAAGGAAATAAAATGTGCCATTTAACACATAGCGTTACAAAGATTATCTTTTTATCAGAAGGGCTGGTGTGTGTATAGAAATACAAACAAGTGTTAAGTTGATCACTTAATCTGTTTGAAAGAGTAGAAAATTTGAAAACAGAGCATCAGGTGTAGGTGAGATTGACTCTCAGAAACAATAAGAGAAGGACATTAATAGAAATTGAATTTAATGAAGCAAAGTAACGTAAAGAAGAGATTGTTCCACTGAGCTTGTGCAGAGGAATGACATCTGTCTTTCTGGAGAGAAAAAAAAACTCTGTTGTATCTATCAGATTTATGTACACATCTAAATTCTGCAGTCACAAGAAATGTAGCATGTATTTTTGTAAAGTTAAAGATCTGCTTCCACGATTGTTGTGTTAAATTTGCTTGCCTACTGGGGAACTTTTTTTCATGCTGAGTTTACGTTGATAATTTGAATCTTTAAAATGAAAACACTTTGAGCTTTGTAGTCTCATAATAATGCTTTTCGTAATGAAAATGATGCAGTATGTGTATTCCCTTTTTAATGGCTTTTGCAAGTTTTTTATGTTTTGTTTGAATAGCAGCATACTTGGTAGAGATACTTCACAGATCAGCATGCTTAGCTCACTCTAGTTTCCACTAACTTGTAGAAAAAGGATATTGTAATTTGACAGGATAAACAGAACAAGTTCAGTGCAGCCCACTTGTAGCTTGACTGCAATTAATTTAGTTGCAACAGAGAAAAGATAAGCCATGTATTTTAATGCAAATACTGTGAACCTTAAATAGCTTAGTGTTCTGGGGACTTGTGTTATTTATTTTTCGAGATTTAAATAAACTACTTGTGTAATTTTGCCTTATGTTTAAAGTGCATAAT